TCTACAAGAACCTCATCTGGACCGGCGCTTTGCTGCTCTTCCAGATCTTCTGCCAAGCCGACGCGACGTACCTCTTCGACTATGGACTCATCTTGCTCTACAATCTCGTCTTTACTTCTTTGCCCGTCATCATGCTCGGTGCCTTGGATCAGGATGTCCGAGCTCCTGCATTAATGGCCTTTCCCCAGACGTACCGACCCGGTCGAGAAGGCAAGCTGTACACCCGCACCCAATTTTGGACCGCATGCATCGACGGCATGTACCAAGCTGCAGCGTGCTTCTTTGTCGCATGGGCAGCCTGGTTCTACTTTCCTGCCGTCATGGCGGATGGCAAAAGTCTCGACGCTCTGACCGCCATGGGAACGACGGTCGGAACATCTTGCGTTATCGCTGCGAATTTGTATTGCGGACTTGCGCTCAAGAATTGGTCCATCATAATCTGGGTCGTCATTGTGAGTGATACCTGGTGGCTCATTCCTTCGCTTCGCTTGGCTGACGTTTAAGTCTGCTCTTTCACGCGCAGGCCCTGTCGAATCTCGCCTTCTTCATTTGGATCGCCATTTACAGTGCGCCGGCATGGGGTAACACATTCAGCCCGACCGCTTTCATCTTGTTCCAGACCATCCAATTCTGGGCAATCGTCCTGCTGTCCGTGCTCGTCTGTTTGCTGCCGCGTTACACTTGGAACGCATGGCAGTCCTCGTTCCATCCCACCGAGATCGACATTGTTCGACAAGGCTGGATCGCTGGAGATATGAAGCAACGGCTTGGCATCAAGTCTCACAAAGCGCGCAAAGGAAATGGCAGACACGGAGAAAAGGCATCGTACACCGACTCGCCCGACATCAATCTTGGCGCGGCCGAACTCGGCAAGAGCGACTACAGCACTCACAACTCGACCTCACCTCCAGGTCGTTCGCGTGAGTTCTCAGGTGGCACAGCCTCGGACTCCTCGCTCTCGCCCCTGCCTACCAACTACGAGCAACGGTACGGAGATCGAGCAGGAAACGAGGTACGACAGCCGGATCCTAAAGCGCGAACGTCGAGGACACGCGACTCGCTGATGCCGTGGGGTGGTCGCAGCGGTACAGCGATGAGCTTCTACGATCCCGACCAGCTGCCGTCGACGTCTCATACCCCTGAGCCAAAAAGTCCTACCCGGCGGCGTGCAGACTATGCGAACAGGGATGACGGCACGCATTCGCCTTACGTTGACGATGACGAAGCACACGAGGGAGACGATATGCCCCAGATCAGAGTGCAGAGGGCCACTGTGGATAGACCGTTCGCTTATGCGCAACCCAACAGCCAAGCCAATAGTCGGACAGCGCTCGCCGCCCAATCGACCGACTCCTTCGAGCAGCACTTTGAGACAGCGTTTGGCGACAATCAGCGTTCTCAGCAGCAGCAGCAGCAACAACATCATGCGCCTTCGCCGTTGAGACAGCCATTAACGATCCCCACCGTCAACGTGACCTCCCCGCAGTCAGCTTCGCCTGCAGATCGGTATCACAATCGATTCAACACAACCTCGCCTCCCGCGCAAGCTGCACCGCACGACGGCACACCGCGGCAGAGCGACTTTCCTCTGCCAGGGACACATCCTCGCGATGACTCGGCCATGACCCAGGGATCGTGGCATAGCGCTCATAGTCAGGAGCGGTACGGAGACGATAGAGATGCGCAGTGGAGATAGCTCCCGATATTTGAGGCTACTTTAGGCACGGGTCTCTCGCGACGACGTGGTGTTCACTCGTCTTCTTATACCACATTACTCTCTACTCGCACCTTTATCTACCGCACGCGGTGCTCTGCTCACCTCTTCTCACGATATGGACCTCATCATCGCCATTCATACATACGTCGTCAAGGTCTCTCTTTCTTGCCATCTTGACTCCCAATGCCCTTTCCTGTGCCACGCACTGCTACTTTGGGCGATTCTGGCACACCTTTATTGTCACTTATCTGCCACCCGTCCTGGAGCCTCATGTTCATTCTGCTGACCGCATAATATGATCCGATCACCCGCATTTGTGTGAAAGGACTGCGCTGGCATCTGAAGCCTAGGCCGCACTACCCAATCCTCGAGCGCAAATTATCTTTCTGCCTGTGCTTTGAAGCGTTACTGCAATGGCGTTGCTTGCGCTCCCTTTGGGAGTCCGATCCACTTTCTTGAACACTCACACTTGCCGGGTCGATTTTCGCATCTCCGAAAACATCAGAATAAAAAAATGGAGCAAGCTCCGCTTTGTGACGGCGGGCGACCACACTTTTGCACGGTAACTCACGTGACCATATTGCGCGCCCAAGGCGCCCTTCATCGCACATTTTAGTGGTATATCTACCATCGCGCGCTGGAAGCCTGCGCCTTTATGCGTCCAACTTTGCAATGCTGCCTGAAGACAGGGAAGGATGAAGCCAAACGTAGGTCATGATCACATCATTGAAATAGTGAAGAGTAGCGCTGCTCATCTTTGACTCCCCTTCAGGCATACAAACGCTGCCTACACTCTCATATCTTCTCCTTGACAACAGTGGTGCACACACCTCAGAGGTAGAGTCAAAGAGACTAAAGCGGGGAAAGCTGTGGGTAGGGGCAATAGAACTGTAACGACGCGCCTTCTGGGTGAAGACCTAAGCCGGTGCAAGTAAGGTCCTTGTGCAATTCAGCAGAGGGCGAGCTGTTGTTAGGTGGCAGAACTCAACAGCAGAAGACTGTGGAGAAAGAAGAAGTGAGTGGAAGACAGCTGGGTGATCAGGCCAGTGTTGGGCAGCGGTCAGGTGAGGAGGTCAGTGGAGGACAAGGGCAGGAAGATTGGGTGAGGGAAGGTTATATTGCAAAGTGTGAGGGGCCTTGGGGGGCCTCTCTATATACCTTACAGGTCTGTCTGAGACAGAATGTGTTGTGTAACAGAAGGTGTGATAGGAGTGAAATGTCTCTGAGGCAGAGTGAAATGTGGAGAAGAATGTCTCTCAGACATTCTTGTATGCATGAGGAGTATATGAATGTCTGGGAGACATTCTGACTGCATGAAGTATGGGTGAAAGACATTCTTGGATGTGTGAGAGAATGTCTGAGAGACAGAGTGATGCGCACTGCGCAGTGGTGAATGTCTGGGAGTCATTAGAGTGCTTGGCGCGCAGTGGAAAACGTCTGAGAGGCATTTGAAGGGGCGCGCGCATAAGCCACTGATCTGGAGGCAGAGCAGGGTCGCTTCTTCACAAGAACAGACAACGTTTTTGCTTGTAGCTACTGGGAGCCTGCGCTGTATCATCATGCACCTGAGGGTTATCTACTAGCAAGCAATATTTGTGACTTGCAAATCTGCGAAGAGGAGGGCAAAGCAAGGAAATGGAAGCTCTTGGGACAAGAATCTGGAAGAAGCAGATGTCTGACTCCTGCAAAGGCGCAATCAAGATACAGGATGGGCAGCGCTGGAAGAAACAGAGCTAATTGATCAGCACCTTTGTATGTGTTTTGAAAAACGCAGGCTGCCTCAGTGGAGGAGCCCAGGTGGTGCCTGGTGTGAAGTCTACACTAGCCAAAGAATACTCCAGCGTTTCTTTGTTGGGTCACTGGTGGGGCAACAGAGATATTGCCGCAACCTCCCAGAATGCTGTACACAGCGCTGACGTCATTTCTGGCATAGCCTGATCTTCACTGGAGACAAGAGTGATCAGCAAGGTCCATGTTTCTGGTCGGCTCTGCCTCTGGTAGTTCTGGGGATCAAGATGTTGACCTTTGGTCTGTTGTCCACCCTTTGCGCTTTATCTGACATTGGAGACGTTTCAATGCCCTCTCCATTCTCTTCCCACTGTCCTAGTCAAGCCCTCTCAGTGGGCCCACAGAGAAGACTGCATTCGGCTCCATCTCTGCAAGTGAGGGTCTGTATGACGTTGATGGGCACATCCAGAATGCCTTAGAGAGTTCTATCAAGAGCACCTCTGCAGAAGATGTCTCTGATCCAGCCACTACTAGCGCAGTTGCCGCCTGCGCTGCATCACCCTCTTCTGGCGCTGTTTCTCCCTGCA